GTGAAAGGCAATAAATTTTGTACCGTTTCTTCACAATAAACTGGGCTGTGCCTGATAATTTTGGGCGATGTCCCTCGCGAAATCTCGCATACGTTGCTGACCCTGTAACAATTAAACTTCTCAAAGTGTTGATTCATTTTTCGTTCTTACGGCAAAACACTCCATTCAATTGATTTGAGATGCTGTGGGATGCTGTTGCTGTGAGATTTTCTCACTTCAATTTCTTAATGATTCTTGCATTCCGTTCGACTACCACCTCACGCTGAATACACCGGTCACCTCTCTTCCACCCTTATTAACAACCTACAAGACACACATGCCTTTTTGACCTACTTATTTTTTAACGAAGCGCCCTGATGACGCCGATGGGTACACTTGAACCCATTCACAAACGTTTCTTTATTTGGTGATAAGTCACAGCGCAGAAAGCTTTTATAACCGGGATCTACCAGCTAACCCCAGGTCACGACGTGGATCAGGAGGGGTAGTCCTTCATTCTGGCTTAATTCCAACTTGGCACTCGTATTGTGTATTTGGCAAGTACATAAGCCATTAAGCCATAGTACAATGCAACCACGTTTGTTGATATGGTGGAAAATAAACGCATGAATCACCGACACTTACCCTTATTTTGGTAGTTTTTGTGTGTCAAATGTCAGGGGATTACGTTTGGAAGTTCGTCCGATACAAAAGGCTCGACAACACTGTTATATAGTGTGGCACCTGGTGACGCCCCAGAACACTTTATTGCTGTGTTGGGTGGGACCTCTTCTGACGTGGAATGATTCGAGCACCAGCAAGCACTCAAAGAACTGTAACCTGAAAGTGAAGTTGTTTCTGAAAATGAAGCCACGGTGGAACGAGATGCACGGTTTGCGAAACGGCCTCGTGTGTACAATAGTCGTTGAAAAACTGGTGTAACTGAATCAGTGCCATTAAACATAGTTCATCGGCCAATGTTCAGGCGTAATGTGACTGCACACAGCTGAGTCCAGCTACAGCTGGAATGTTTCCGTCCTGGTTGCAGTGGGGTTCGGAGGAGGGACCCGAACGTGGGTCGGAGCCCCACAGTGAAGGGTTAGAGGTTAACGCAGTTTCGGAAGCGCACCACAGTGGAGGGTGCGTTGCTTTCGGTGATACACGGCTGAGTGTCACGAACTGTTGACAGCATAGGTGCCTTGCACATTGTATTTGTGTTTCTGAATGCCGTAGTATCGGACCAGGCTAATAGGCCTCGCAGTTTTAATCATTCACTGTTAGTCTTTCGGCTGTTCCAGGAATAAACATAGCGTTCTTGGACTCGGCAGAAGGTTGGTCTTTCGGCTGTTCCACGAATAAACATATCGCTATTGGACTCTGCAGAAGATTGTGAGTTGCATGCCCACCGACCGTTCAAGCCAAACACGTGTAGGAACAGGAATGTATGGACGGACATCAATGCGTAGGCGCCATTCAATTTGCCTTACGCGAGATCTGTGAGGGAGTGGTTAGCGCTCCATCGCGCCCCTTTGGACAGAGATAATATGTTTATTGAACAACCAATGGTTACGTTTAGGATATTAGCTTTTAAACGACATGCGAGACGTGGAATCAGCAAGGCCACTGCAGCGAAGCCAGCGAAGGACGCGTGACAAGCTGGCAATTACAAGAAAGTTCAGTGGCATGCGTCCCGTTCGCCGCACGCTTGGACCGCCTCCAGCGGACCGCGAACGTGCCGGCCACGCCGTTCACGTGTGCGGCGCCGGCCCCCGGTGTATGGGGAGCGCGGGGCGGGCCGCGTCAGCCTCTCGGCGGGAGACGCCGGCGCGCTGAGGCCGAACCCGGCCAGCGGCGGCCGCTCGGCGGGAGACGCCGGAGCGCTGAGGCCCAACCCGGCCAGCGGCGGCGGCGCGTGTTTACGGGCCGTGACTGATGGCCCCAGCCATGCTGGGTGTCGGGCGGAGCCTCGCCGTGGCAGTCGCTCGCTCGCGTGGCCGGAGCGGAGCTCACGGCCGAGCTGACGTGGGTGGAGTGGTGGACGCCGCGGTCTTCCGATCATAGGTTCAGTGGAGCCGGGACAAGGCTGTGTGAGGAGCATGGCAGTCCTCTGAGGACAGGTCCATTGGAGCCGGGACAGGGCTGTGGGAGGATCATGGCAGTCCTCTGAGGACAGGTCCATTGGAGCCGGGACAGGGCTGTGGGAGGATCATAGCAGTTCTGTGACGACAGGGGCAGTGGGGCCGGTACAAGGCTTTAAGGGTATCGTGTCTTTGGAATAATTGTTGTGGCCCTACGAGTTCCTCCGGCAAAAATGGGATGATTCCATTGGAAGAGCAAAATCTTACCCACAAGACTTATGAGGACATAAATCACAATCGGCACTCGCGGCACCTGGGTAGGTAGTATGCTACACCCGGACAACAGCAAAAAATAATAAGAATAATAATAATGCGGTGTGACGTGGCTCTACCGCAGCGTAAAATCCAAGTGATCATTAGTCAAGCAATGTTGGCACATGTTT